CCAAATTTTCAAACCATAACTTATTTGAGACTGGAATTTAACAAAGTACACATTCCTAAGGACATATGGGCTTACTTCCTATATGCACTCCTCTTCTCCCTCATGCCTGCTATATACCCTGCCCATCTCATACTCCTTGGCTTGATCATTCTGCTTATATTTTGCGAAGAGTATAAATTATGAAGCTCCTTTTTAGGTACCATTAAAAGTGGATATTTTCTGTACTGCTGCCATGACCATTAGTTTCTCAGGAAGGTCACTGTGCTGTGAACGTGATACACTCTAATGGGTTTGAAAGCTATACAAAACAGCGCTTATGAGTTAGACATAACGAAAAACAGCCATAGCAAGGAGAGCATACACTGTTTCCTGTATGACATTGTAAAGCCATGACTGCTAAACATAAATTTTGTTTTACAGAGCTGTAGAAATTCAGAAAAAGTTTTAGTGGGTCCACATGGTGAGACATACACAATACGTCATAATGGAAATCAGGCAATGAACATGAAAGCTGAGGAAGTCTCATATGCAGAAGGGAAACAAGATCCTGTGCCAATAACATTTCTGGAAATAAAGGGTGAACCTGAGGTGAGCTCTGTGCCTCTGTATGGCCACTATTAGGCACATTTCACAAATATGCACAGTGACAATTGTCTTCATGATTCTGTATTTAAGCATCCTGTTGCAAGCCACGATAAAACGTGTAGGTATAACACAGTCCTTCAATAATGCAAGAAATTGTTCCTTTTTCTTCCACTAATAATTTAACACGTTTTCTTCTTAGTTTGCCATTTTCTGGTGTCTTAATATATTAAAACTGCTACACTGCATTAATATGCATTAATATTACTAGTTTCTTTTTTGAGACTGAGAGGGGCTATTGAACACTTTGATGCCATAGGAGTGAATTCCTTTTTGATATAAAGTAAGATTTGTTGAATGTTGGTGGAAGTTGTTTTTGCCTCTTATTTATGTTATGGATGTCAGAATTTAAATTTCACACGCTTTTCTTGTCTACAAGTAATAGCAGTGAGAGTATGTATTGTGAGGGAAACAATAAATTCAGTTTTTAAATAAATCTTTGCAAGAATCTCTATCCTTGCTTCCTGTGATAATATTGAGCCTCTTTTGCATTTTGAAGATTTTAGTGCTTTCTGCAAAATTTCTCCAGAATATTATTCCATGTGACATAGAGGAGTGAAAGTAGGCATGGTAAACCACTTTCATTACTCCGAGACATGTACGGTTTAATAGATCCGAGTGCATAACAAGCGGCACTTAGCATGCATAACATCTGCTCAATACGTAATTTCCAAGACAGTGCACTGTCTATGACAAGCAATCCAAGGAATTTTGTGTCATGTGCTTTAAAAACTGTTTTACTAGCATAGCTTACATCCAGGTTCATTTGAGGTCCATTATTAGTTTAAATTGTATGAGATGAGTTTTGTCAAAATTTAATTAAAGACTATTGGCTCTGAACCATTATTTTAACTATTCAAATACGATTGTTATTATAAAATCCATGGGGTTAGAATTGGTAACTATTATACTAGTATCATCTGCAAACAGAATGGTTTATATTAATTTTTCACAAAGATTTGTAAGCCAATTATATAGTGATGAATGGGCAAAGCACCTAGTATGGATCCCTGTGGGATGCCATTCCTTATTTTACCCCATTTTGAAGCTATCTGATGGCTAAAGTTTTTGTTCTTTTATTTCCATCCTTTGATATCTATCCACAAAGTATGATTTAATCCAATTACTGACCTTACCAGTTATTCCGTACCAATTGAATCTGAGCAGTAAAGTGACATGATTAACACAGACACTTTGGCTAGATCACAGAAGATCCCACCTATTAGTAATTTACACTTTCTTACTTACTTACTCATGGAGCTGAGCCCTTCTCGAGGAGCCGCCAATTCTGCAGCTACTCAAGAATTTCCCAGCATTTTATGGAACCCGAAGGTTCATTACTGTGTTCGCAAGAGCCCGCCACTGGTCCCTATCCTAATTTACACTTTCATTATTTTAAATTAAAAAAAAACAAAAGTCAAGACATTACTGTATTTATTTCTGGTGTAAAACATTTTCAGTATATGTTATGTATTTAAGGTCTAACACTGGAAGCTAACATTCATCTAGCACTACATAATACTGCAACATGAACTAAGTTATGTGACAAATGGAATATCCTGTTAATATTACATACATACATATCATGACTATGGCCATCTGAATTTGTACCACAATGAATGTACACTTATATGAAAACAAGTATACAAAACATACCATTATATTAGTCACTGCATACAGAGTGTTCATGGCAAGAAATTTTTGGCAGAATCAGTTCTCATTCAGAGACAGACTTCTATCTGCAGACTGCAACAGTGACTTCTGTTCCTGGTGTTCTATAAATTTTCATTGACAAATAAAGGTATAACTGAGAGCTATAAACCAACATTAAACTGTTTAATATTTGGCTACTTTTATTTACATCCCACTACATGTTTCAGTCTACAGAGATCATCAGGTGGTCTATGAATGCATGCATCATCAATAAATCATCCATTAAAATGGATCCATTTTTCATTTACCAAAAATATAACCTAAATTTTAAAAAATTCTAACTATATAGTGTGGGATAAGTCCTGACACGGCAGCGTAGTTGGTTGAGGCACTATGCTACAAGCCAGAAGGTCACAGGTTCGAGTACCAATGAGGTGGATTTTTTTCAATTTACCTAATCCTTCCAGCTGCACTATGGCCTTGGGGTCAACTCGGCCTATAACAGAAAAGAGTACCAGGAATTTTCCTTGGGAGTAAAGGGTGGCTGGTGCATAAGGCTGACAAATTTACCACCATCTCTGAGCTGTGTGTCTAGAGAAAATGTGGGAACCTCGACGTTTCACAACCCTATAGGCCTCCACAGCCTATTACAGGGACAGCTTTACCTTTTACCTTTTACCACCGAGTCTTGAATAATGTGTTGTCATGTGTTAAAGGTGAATGTGCTAAAAGTTACAATCTAGTTGTTCAAGTAAATAAGATAAAAATTATAATCTTATTTTAAAATGGGGAGGATGGTGTGTTTAGGGCACTGGTTGTTGTGTGGTGTAGATGAGCTTCAGTGTTTTCGATATCTTTTGGTGTTTGAAACCTTGAATTTAATATGTGTTTAATATATATGTTTAAATACTATAATTATGTGATTGTGATTTTGTGGACACTTGCATACTTTTGGTGTGCCAGGGCGATTGTTCGGCATATGAAGTTTGTGGTATTGTGACTATATGTGATTTTGTGCCTTGTAGAGTTGCTATAACTAAAGTGGGGAAGTTTTATTAATTGGAATTTCATGTCTATATAATTGTGGATTGTTGTTTTAGCTGTGTATGCTATTAAGACATTTTACTTATGTAACTGTATACATAGGAAAACTTTCTGTATGGATTACTCAACTTTAGTATGGCCTGCCGAGTTGTTATAACTTAGATATTTTGACTGTATATGAAATTGTTTTCTGTTTATGATGTTCTTGCATTTAGTGTACATACTATGTTTGTCTTACATTCTTCCATTTTTACAGTGTACCTTGTGTGCTGTTGAGTGATGGAAGATGACTGAAGTAAGCAAAGCATGAGTGCTGCTGGTACTGTGTGGATACATTGTGTAGTTTCTGGCCATGAGATGAGATATTTGGAGGTGGATATGCTGGTGGGAAGGGTGGTGTACTTATTTTCATGTGGGACTCGAGATTCTCATAGCAGCGTATTATGTATTATGTACTAAAGAGTATTATCTTCTGGGATATAAAACCATGCAGTCTTCTGAATGTCTACTGACGTTTCGGAGAAAATATCACCTCAACCTTCATGGTGACGAATAATCCAAGCAAGAAATCACTGTGTAAGCAGATGGTAAGCACAGCAATCAACAAGCCAGAATTTTTTACTACATAGGAAACAGGAGGGAAATGGAAGAGTGCAACTCAGTTCCTGTTGGCTTGCCCATGGGACAAAATGAAACCATCAGTACCCACTGGCTCTCAGACCAACTACCAAATGAACCAAGTAGAGAAGAGAACAAGAGTTTAGGGTAGCCCAGTAAAGGAACTGTTCTGCTGGTCCAGAAAAAGACATACTTATTTTCAGTTTCTGGTATTATTCATTATATTGGACAATGTGTATTTATTATTACATCAAATATTGGATTATGTGTGAGAGCAAATGTATCATTCATTTCTTATTTTTATTTGCTAAGGTTATATATGTGAAACCGTTCTAATGTTTAGTAGTTGACCTTTCTTCTCTATGTGAAGTACTTCCAATGTATTGTTAATTGTGCTGTATGTATGTCCAGTGTCTATTTTATATATATTACGCTGATGATCTCTGTAGATTAAACTAAAATAAACTCCGTACCTTGTGTCCACAAGCGAACTATACCGACCGAGTGATTGCTGCTTGTCAGCGAAGTTCGTAGATTGAAACATGTACATAAAAAGTAAAGTCGTCACTGCGCTCAACTAATTAAGCACTAGGCCATGAAGAAGTATGGGGGAGTTGATGTATAGATCCACATTTTCTTGACCTCGGCACTGGTTGGAGATGAGAGGTCAGCTTCATGCACCAGTTGTTTTATCCCTGAGGAAAGAGCCTCAGTACCCATTCGACAAGAAGCTGGATGGGCCTCAGAGCCAGTCTGGATGACATGAAAAGGAGAAAATTCTTGACCCTACCGAGACTCCCAACCCCTCAGTCATCCAGCCCATAGGCATTTGCTACACCGACTACACTATCCCAACTCTACTGAAACATGTAGTGGCATGTAATTAAAAATAATGGAATATTAAACATTTTAACCTTGGTCTGTAACCAACTGTTGTGTTGACTGCTCTCAATTATAGCTTTCATATATGATACACAAGAGGATGCGAAAAATAAAGATAATCTTATTGAAATGTTCATCATCATACAATTACAAGAATTTTTCATTACAATACAAAACAATATAAATTCTGTAAGAACTTTACACTACAATACAAAGTTCATGAACAACTATAATAGTACGAGTATATTGCAATTTAACTGAAAACTGAAACTGTGTACCCAGCACAAGTTTTTATACCCCAACATACAAATCACAAAACCATTTTCATATTGCACACATCCTCACCTTTGTCAAATTTCTGCAATATGTTCAGCCACATACCACAACAATGCTATGCGCATAATTACTGAAAGTAGGTAAAAACGTGATACCTCTGTATACTGACGGACACAAATAACCATTTCAATACTGGTATCTTGCTTGATAACTACAACAGCAGGGGTTTAAATGAGACAAGTGGTTAATGTACAGACCGTGAGCATTTGACAGTTTAAGGACATATTACTAAAAAAGTTAATTTTGTTGCCTAAAATCTGGATAAAGCTGATGTATCTAACCTTATGGACTTGCATTCAATGCATTCCAGATTGATATTAGCTGTTAGCACCATGACTACACATCTGCATTTTTTGATGCACATGACATTGAAGAGTTGGTCATAACAATGATTCCAAAGTACAACTTATCTCCATTGAAAATTTTCTTACAGTCATACAAAAGATATAAAAAATATGCACTTTTGGACTGATTGTTGAGTCCATAAATTTGTTCTTAAACTCAAGGATTAAAGAAACTAGGTTGCACAATCATGTCCATCAAATTTATTCGAAAGTTCCAAATGCAGGAAACTGAAAGAACTTTAACATAGCACACCATAGCCAAAGGTGTATCCTACAGAATGTTGCATATTTTATTTTTGAATGTCTTTACTTAGTGCTTTTACTTACACTCGTAAAGGAGATAAAGTTTAATAACTGTAGAAAGTACATTAACACCGAATTTGCAAACAAAAACTGGAGTCTTGTTAAATCCTTATTCTTTTATATAGTGTCCTAATGTCACAAGTATCTCTACATTTTTAAAATTTTCTTCTTGAAGGAAACTTATACAACTTTCAAAGTTTGAACTCTTATTTGGCTATCAATATCTGGCCTAAACCATTATGGGAACAGGGGATTTTCATGTGCAAAGTTTAACAATATAAACCATGATTCATTATACACAGATACTACAGACCTTATATCCTATTTTCTCCAATCCCTTGAATTTGAAAAGCATCCCAGCTTTAGGAAATAAAATATAAAGTTTACAAATTAAGTGTAAGTCTACATGAGGGCTGTCAAAGTTCAATCTCTGAGAAGCTGCATTGTACCTCAGGCATCTGTCTGTGGGCTGCATTACAAGAACTATTTTTTTCCCAGTGCGTTGACATAAATATCTGCCCTGGAATGATCTATCTATGAAGCACAAGCTCACAAACAAGAAATACATCAACAAAGCCTAAAAACATTTATTTAAATTAACTATTACTTCACTGATGTTTCTCAAACATCAGCTGTTGAAGGTTTATTATGTTGTATCAATTTACACATGATCCTTAAATCATACCAATTCCATACGTTTTTAAACTTATTTATGAGGTAGCATGCGACATCAGTTGAAAATTACACTGAATATTTGAAAAGCAATATTTGTGAACTTTTTCGACAAGATTCACTGTCTTCTTTAAAGAGGTTAGTGTGAACATATATTTTGAGGAATGGAACAAGAGACTTGCCAACCCCACAAAACAAAATGGTAAGACACATGCAGCCCAAGTGCCTCCACCAGGGCAGCCCTGGTCTATATGATAAGAAGTATTGTGAATTGTATTCGTTTATTTTCACCACAGACTCATGCTTCCCAGGATCTATCATCCTGCTTGTGGGAGATACTGGACCCTTTTAAATGCATGAATTGTGTCTGCAGGAATCCTCCATCTTACATCCCTGATATAAACCACACACATGAATGCCACTTCTCACATATTTGCTTTCTACCAGCAGAGCAATTTCTGATTAAGTCTACCTTTTAAATAGATGAATATCCACTAATTATGTGAAATGTGCTAACCTCGGAAAACTTTGACAAAAAAAAACAGGCCCCCCAGGACAGAGGTTTAGCACCAAGTTGGTAACCTGGTCTTATAAAAACGGACATATTCAGATTCGTCAAAAGAAGAGAAGCCAGACTGATGTATCATACAACAGAAATTTAGAAATAAAAATGAATATATTTAGTCAAATGTGCAGCATAAGAAGAAAACTGCACAATAAGATAAGGAAAGTGGGACATGTAAAGTTTTATAAAGCTGTGGCAGTATCTATACTTACATACTGATCCGATATTTTGACTGCAACTAAGGAAAAAGAGAAAGAAAGAATGGGTGGGGGGAAGGAAGCAAAAATTGAAATTGCAGAAATGAAATTCCTCAGGAGAGTAGCAGATTACACAATGAAGGACCAAATAAGAAATACTAAAATTATGGAAGAACTGAATAGTTTTGATGCAAATGCTAAAATTATAAAATCCAGGTTACAATGGAAATATCACATGCAATGAATGGAAGAGACTGATTTCCAAAAAAAAAAAAAATTCTAACATACAACCTGAAAAGAAAACAAAACATGGGATGCCCACAGCTAAGATGGAGGGAGTAGCATACTCTTCAAGAGGACGGAACAGATAATACATGGCCTATCCCATGATGATGATGATGATGATGACTGTGAACTGTAGCTTTGGTATATACATGAGAAAGGAAGAGAAAGCTGTGAAAGCTAAAATATCATTTGGAATGAGAGAACACCATTATCAACTTTATCACTAAAAAACCATGCACCACTATAACCATTGTAAATAAAATGTTCATCGCAACTTTTGGTATATTCTTTTTAGGAAAATAGTGCCCATGGTATCAGTGAAAACATGGCATTTCAAGCAGTACAGAAGAAGATTCACTGATTACCTTGTTATTCATATAGATTGATAATGCTTCTGAAACACTGGGAGACAAATCACAGTACACAATAAATCTTAGAACCTGACAACTTTGAAAACTGACTGCAACATTCTACATTTTGAATTCTCTGTATCATTTCCGTCCTGGATAAGTTATGCAAGATTTTCCAATGGGCATTATGATTTAATTTTCCATGTGTCAGGACAGCAGTCAGATTCCTTGGTGCTTACTTGGACTCAACATTTGCCTACACATCTTCAATACACTAAGAACTACTACCTACACTTTTGCTCTTTCCTTCTGTTAGCATTTCATTTGATATCACAATATTATCTTTCATCACTGTTTCTGGGATTTCATCATCTGAAACAAATCATGTACAGTGCTTTAGACATATTTTACTACAAATTTTCAAGTTTCTTAATGCTGTTTCTCCTTTTAAGTTGTATAAACAGTAACTTCTTACTTATGCTAGTATATATTTTTCAAATTCAGCATTATGATATTCACTGCAGCAAAATATACCCTCCTCACTCATGGTGTAAAGATTAGCTTAGTTTAAGCTTCAGCACCTTCAGTATCAACATGTTATCAGGAGTAAATGTAATCCTGTTTTACAAGCACTAAATCATCAGAAGTGGATTCCTTCAGCCATGCCAATTTGGTAGAAGACGAAATGGTCAAAATATCACAACAAACTAGTAACAAAAACTGAGATTAATTTTGCATTCTGTTTTCAGCTACTCAGTCATATGCTCCATCCATTCCCAGCAAACAGCTAAATATCCACCTTTTTGTGATTACCTGATTCAACATCTGACAGCTGTCTCGGAGTCAATCGACAGCCACGAGCCAAGTATGAATGCAATTTTCCAACTGATGCCAGAATCAATCCGAAGAATGGAGGAGAAGGTTTCAGAGGCCTGGAAAGGTATTCTGGATGGTACTGTGTTGCTACAAAGTAAGGATGATCATCCAGTTCAAGAATCTCCATGCGGATGTTCTCTTCATCACGGCCTGAAGAGAGAAAAACCACATTATTTAAAACTTCTGGACATCTATGCTTAATTCTACATGTATCCAAATACTCAATCCTTCTGTACCCTCCCTTCAGTTCTGATGTAGAAAGTATAAAGACTTATAATAAAATAACTGTCACATTTTTCTTCTGCCAGGTGGGAGTACATGTTGGAACATGACTGAATGAGTCATAAATAGTATGTACTAATAGCATTTGGATTGAGTATTTTTTGCAGTAACTGTAAATGCTTAACTAAAGCAGGACTTCCTTTCTTTTATTCAAACTGACAATCAACAGTAAAATTTAATCAAACTGGTAAAAATTGCACAATACCAAGAACTGATTAAACGTGGAAAATTTGACTCAAATTATAAGATGGTGTTGAATGATTATTTGGCATTTACCAAGTCAAATGAACTTGAACAAAGAATCTGTGGGGTGGAATAACTGATTACAAGATCTAGCACAAACTATGTGGTTCAATCCAAAAGTTCCCGAAATATATTAATAAAAACTATTACATCTTACCTAGATCTTATTCCGCACCATCACCTTCAAAGTAGGCCCCTTGGGAGCGCATACACTGATCCCAGCATTTCTGCCACTTTTCAAATGCATCCTGGAAGTCTTTCTTTGTTAGGTTGTTTAGTACCGTCTGCGTTTCACTTGAATTTCCTCAACTGTATCAAATCTTCGCCCCTTCAACTTGATTTTCATCTTGGGGAAGAGAATGAAGTTGCATGGAGCTAAGTCTGGCGAGTATGGTGGGTGGGGAACAACTGCCATCTTGTTTTTAGCCAAAAATTCCTGCACAATGTAAGCCATATGCAGTCGTGCATTGTCATGGTGGAGTACCCAGTCATTTGTGCGCCACTTCTCTGGACGTTTTCTCCTCATGTTCTCTCAAACACCTTTGAACATCGCGATAGAAGTCTTTACTGACTGTCTGACCAGGAGGGACGAACTCCTTGTGAACAATCCCGTCAATATATATATATATATAGTGTGAC